AATACAGGGCGACGAGAAGGGTGAACAATCGGCACAGCTGAACATGAGACAGCGATAATGAAGCAGCCACGTCTCGTGAGGTTTAGAATAAACGAAGAATTAAAATATTCATGACATGGCTGTGCTCCAGACCATGGCAACACCACCTGAGGACTTTGGGCCCTCTCCTGCCCAAGCAAATGCTCACAGTTCTCTCAAAAGGCCCCCTCTGCAAATATGGAGGATCTATTGCTGAGTGAAGCAAGCCAGGATATCAAAGAAATTGTATGTATCCACTTAATATATACTGACTATCTGCACTTAATGGTAGAGATCGAAATATTGGAGGGCAGGGGCCAGCAGGTGGCGTGGTGGTTAAGGGCACTGGACTCCCTCCCATGTGGCCGACTGTGGGTTCGAATCCCGGACCCAGTGGCTTGCTTTCTCACTTTCCCTCTCTCTCATTCCCTCTCACTCTCTCACTCTTTCACGCTGTCCCTCTCTGGTCAAATTAAAATAAATAAATAAAAATAAATGAAGTTAAATAAAATAATTTTTTAAAAAAGAAAAAAATATTGGAGGGCATAAAAGCAGCGAAAATAGGGACCAGCAGTTAGCATAATGATTATGTCGCTGGACTCCAGGTAGTCGACCGCAGTTCGAGTCCCAGACCCGGTGGCTTAAACTCACACTGGGCGCATGTGTGTGCATGCCCAAGATCCCAAGAGGAGAATGAAGAAGAAGGGATTGTGGCATGGCCATCCCCCCTGAGGGGTGATTTCTCGCTTTCTGTCTCTCTGTCTCTCTCTGTCTTTCTGGAGAGCACACGTGCCCTATAGCAAAAATCTCTCCAAAAAAAAAAAAAAGCAGTGAAAATAGTTATGGATGCAGAAGACAGTGTGGAATGGGGCAGGGGGAGAAGGGAAGAGTATGGAGAAGGATGTCAAGAGAACAAACAGAGAGGCATGACATTACTGGGACACAGAAATGGTTTATTACCTGTTAATGACATGTACAGTATTCTCAACTGGACTGGTCTGAGAAGTATTTCATGTTGGGTAAATTCTTTATACAAGCCAAATGATATATAGTGATTGAAGGTTTTAAAAAATGAGAATAAATAATAATAATAATAATCTGAAAAAAATGATGAAAAGTTTTTTGATGATGATAATGGAATATTAATGTCTTTGTCTTGACTGATGTGCTTGGTAATTGTGCTGGAAAAAGAAATGTAATACACTGTAAAATATATGTAATTCAATGTAATATAAAAAGATTATAATAATAAATAATTTTTTAAAAGGCCCCTTCTGTGGACACAGGTGTGTTTCTCACTGGAAAACTTCCTCTTACACCTCCAAGCAGCCAAGATCACTGAAGGTCAGAAAAAAAGAAAAATCCATGGACAGTCAGAAAAGAAGAGACGTTCATTGTGCACATTCTGTAAAAGCCAGAGCTGCTTTCTATGAAATGAGCTTTGCTGAGGCAATCGGTACAGACAACATCCAGATATAAGCTCTTCTCAAGCCCTCTGTGCATGGACTTGGAGTTCCTCAACTGACAGGTGCTAGCCCTGAATGGTAATGTCAGAAAACTATGGAAGAGAAGTTTAAAAGCACCGTTCTGAATGGAGCCATCAAGACACGATTTAGGCCAATGCTGTTCAAGGTATTCTTTGTAGGTCATTTTATGACAAGGTTCCACTTCTTAGTAAGATGGACAACGACCCCACTAAGTGACACATACACACACGGAAGGACCCCACAGTCAACAACTGCAAACCTTCAAATAAGCAACCACCTGAGGATGTCGGGAGTAGCAGAGCAGACAGACTCCGTCGAGAACTGCATGCTTGCTCCGAGAGGAGACGGCGATGTACCAGCAAATTCCCATCACATCTCTGTCACGTCTAGCCTGCGACTAGGACACACGTGTGTGCGCAGCGCTGGGGAGGGCACATGCATGCTTCCTAGCCTGGGGAAATGTGGAAGTAGTTGTATGAAAATGTGAACAAAGAAAGTGGGGAAACCCCAAAAGGAAAAGAGCTAGAGAAGAGATCCCCAATTCATCCATTCCCTATCTCTGATGCCCACAGACCAAAGCAATTTAACTGAATGCAAAAGGCCTAAAGCACGACTGGAGCGACCCCTTAAACAGCATTCAGTCCAAACCCACACGAGAAAACTGCCTTCACAATCAAAGGACGGGCTGACAGGTGGCACGGTGGGTAAGGCGCTGGACTCCTATATGGTCCACCGCAATGAGTCCTGGACCTGTTGTGGCTTGCTTTCTCACTTTTTCCCTCTCTCTTTTTTTCACACATAAAAATAGAAAAAAAAAAAAGAGAGAGAGAGAGAAAAAGAAAAAAGACTAAATAAAATTAAATAAGTTTTTTTTTTTTAAATAAAAGGAAACAACACTCAATAGAAGAAAACAGAATCCAGAATACTCAGACTTTAGTATTCATAATATAAAGATACAAGCTAAAAGTTACAGGAAAGACAAAGAAACAGAAAAATGGGAGCTCTTCTCCAGGAAAAGAGAAATTAAATCCATCTATGAGATGAGCCAGATATTAGAACCAGCAGAAGCAGATTATATTTTATTTTTGTCAGAGGGTGCTTGCATTCACCAGAGACAGACAAAAATGCAGAAGGAGGAAGAGGGAGAAAGTACCCCTCAGTGGGAAGTGGTCATCTGCAGTCTCTCCTCTTCATTTCGCCATCACATCCTGTTGGAATTTTGGGCAAGCACACACATATGCCTAGCATCTTTTTCAAGCTGCTCGGACAGGGATTCGAGCAGAGCAGTGAGTCATGAGGGATCACGAGCCTTTACCCACTCGGCCATGGGGCTGGCCCAGAAGCAGATCCGCTCACCACTGCCTCAGAGCATACGTGCTTGCCAGAGAGAAACAGAGAGGAAGAAGAACCCCCACCACGGGACATGGTCATACCACAATCCCTTCTTCATTTCTCAGCCTGCCTGGATTTGAGGTATGCACACACATGTGTCCAGCATGTTTTTAAAGT